CGTTATGTCAAACAGGATTCATTTCCTTGGGTACTACTAACACTTTCCACAAGCACGAAAAAAAAAAAAAAAAAAGAAAAAAGAAAAAAATCAAAATCAGAGTTAACAATGTCCAGAGGCCAAGCAACCTGGAACATTCTGAGTCAACGTAGAGATTTTTTAATGTAACTTCTTGAAAATGAAATGTGTGCTGAGCCTGGAGGACTTCCTGGCCTGGTCTGTACTCACAGTGAAAGGCAGTGGGCGTGTTCTGCACAACTCATTCTTTGGAAAACACTGTTAGAAATTTAGTTCTGTCCCTTTTCCCTCCCACTGAGCATGAAAATGCCAGTTATACGTGTGACGGGGAATTGTGGAAATGAGTAAGAAATGGAAATTTATAATCATACCTCCAGAAGAAAATGACTGTGAAGGATATTTAAAAAGGAAATACTGGCATACTTGTATGAAAGGGAAATTTAGGGTAAGAATGGGTAAACAAAATGGAGAGATTGGGGCAGACTGCTGCGGAGATGGTCAGCAAAGAGTCTGTTGTGTGGTACCATTCCTGGGGAGACAGACAGAGGTCTCCTCAACAGATAGGGAACCAAGGTACGGACACCACCAGAGCCCAACCCAGTGAACCACTAACTTGTTGGGGCTGCTTAGGAGTGTCGATGACTCAAAAGACAGCTGCATCACCAAAGCCTGCCCCACTGTGGGTTTCTGTGTCTCAGCAGTGGGTCAGGGCTGTGTGCCAGAGAAGCATGGCCTGGTGCACCTGGTCAGTTACAGGGGTTCCTGAAGCTGTTGTCTACTCTCTGAGCTTAGGAAATCTCCCTCAAAACATCCTGTTTACCTCCCTTTAGAACATCCTAATTTTTACAGAGCTGCTCTCCAAGATACATTTGTCTTGGAAGAAATTGCTACACAACAGGGTCATATACGAAATGGTTTCTTTCCCCTTTATTGTTTTTGTTTGGTTTTTTTGAGATAGGATCTTGTGTAGCCCAGGCTATCCTTGAACTCCTGATCCTCCTGCCTCTGAGGCCTCTTCAGTGCTGAGGTTACAGGTATGGACCACCAAAGTCAGCTACAAGTTGATGATAATGGACTAAACTTGAAATCTTACAAACATAGCCATGGGGGTAACTTGCAGGCAGAGAGCCCGCCTAGTGTGCACAAGACCCAGCATCCAACCCCAGGACACACATGCCCTAATTTTTTTTAATTTTTTAAAAAATCTTTTTATTTTATTATTGTTATTTTATGTGTTATGCGTGTATTGCCTGCATGTAGGTCAGTGCACCTGTGTCTTGCAGTGCCAGTGGAGGTCAGAAGAGGCTGTCAGATCCCCTAGGACTGGAGTTACAGACGGTTGTTAGTTGCCATGTGGGTGCTGGGATTCGAACCCAGGTCTTCTGCAAGAACAATCAGTGTTCTTAACCACTGAGCCATCTCTCCAGCCCCAACTTTCTTTTGACTTTAATAAATAGGCAAAAGACATAGATTACTAAAAGCATAGCTGCTAAGTAGCCAAGCTGAGGTCTCCAGCCTGCATCCCCAGCAGCACACTGAAGTCCAAGAAAACTCTGAGCTCTGGTGTGTGGGAATCAGATACCAACCCCCGCTCCCATGTGTGGACCTGTGTGGGGCCAGGCACTACAGTCTCCCTTTCTCTCCCCTCCAGTTCCCGTTCTGTGACGGGGCTCACATAAAGCACAACGAGGAGACTGGAGACAACGTGGGACCTCTGATCATCAAGAAGAAAGATGCTTAATGGACAGTTTCCAGGCAGCACCCCGGTGTCATGATGTCACCTGATGGTTTAGTTAGAAGACACCCACTCTGGCTCACCACCTGGATTCTAAATGTGGTCCTTACAAACAGCAGCTTTCAAGGTCCTGGCATCAGCTTGCTGTTGAAACATCGTGGTGCACACTTGTTGAAACAAAGTGAAAAAGGATAGATCAACCTCATGGCCTGTGGGTTATTTTGGTCTTGGAAGGATCGGTTTCTTTAAATTTAAAATAATGGTCTTAGAATATAGCGTGTCTTGAGGTTAACATATTAAATTATTCTCAAAATCATGTATATGTACCTTGTACTTGTGAGTTTAAAAAAAAAGATGACCGCCTTTTCACATTAGTTAACCTGGGAAGTAAATCAAATGTGATTAAGCTGCACTCCCCTCTTACTACAGCACTGGAGAAGCCCGTCAGGACCTGGACTGTCTCCTGGTAATGGCGCTGACACTTGTGTGTGTTGATGTTTTCTTTCAGAATTCACTGTCACTCTGCTTACAGTTGGCCAGGCCGACAACAAAGGGACAGCAGAGCCTTCATGTTCATCTGCATGGGTCCTTCATGGATCCCCAGACACCAGTGAGATAGCAGATCCCAGTGATGGCAGCTAGGCAGGCACAGAAAATGCCTAAGAATGTAGCCCTGCACTGTGCAGATGGCTCAGAGAGTAGAGCTCTTGCTGTGCAGCCTGAGGAGCTGAGTTTGGATTCCCTGAACCCGAGTAGAAGCCAGGCAGGTGTGGCAGCCTGCAGCCCTAGTGCTCACACTCAGGAGGCAGACAGGATCCCTGGGCAAGCTGGCTATCTGGCCCGGCCAGAATTAGCAAATTCTGGGTTCTGCAAGAGACCTTGCTTCAGTAAGTAAATGGAGTATGCTTGAGGACATCCCCAATGTCGAGTTCTGGCCTTCACTTGTGCATACACACGTGTACGCATGCCCACTGCACATATACATACAAAAAAAAAAAAACATAGAACTCTGGCCCAGGAGTGCCCAAAGCCCATGAACTGAGGCCCTGGTGGAATTGGGGTGCACATTTTCAAGTACCTTTTTTTTTTTTTTTGAACAGCCTCACTTTGTAACCCTGACCGACCTGGAATTCAGTGTATAGACCAGGCTTGCCTCACACCCACATAGACCACTTGCCTCTGCCTCCTGAGTGCTGGGATTAAAGGCTGAAGGTGTGCACCACTACACCCAGCACACTACCTTTTTTTTTTTGAGGCAGTCTCACTGAATCCAGAGCTCAGCATTTTCCCAGTGAGCTCCAGGGATCTGCCTGTCCCCTTTTATGTGGGTTCTGGGGGTTCAAACACAAGTCCTTATGTTTGTACAACAGGCAGTTTGCAGACTGAGCCACATCCCCAGCCTCAGCCTTTTAAATCAAAGTGATTGGACTGCCCAGCACTAACGGCTTTTGTCCCCAAATTTTAGGCCAAGATAAAATTTTTCAGCTCTTCCAGGAAAGGGAAACTTCTAATAGAAGGTTGTCAACTTGAATTTACTTTCTGCGGGAAGGTCTTGTGCTTGGTCACAAGTTTCCATTGTGAGCAGCCACATTTTGTGGTTAGAGTAACAGATGCCCAGCGATTTAAAGAATTAGAGATTTAAAGATTTAGAGAATTACTTCAAAGTAGGTGGAATTATTTTACATTTACATTCATTATGATGGTGTTTGGTTTTAAGATAAACGTTAACTAAGGGCCCCAATTAATGTCGTAAGTAGTATAGGGTACCTTCCAGGATGTTCTGCCAGTTGTGAAGCTGATTCATTGATGCACTGATTTAGTGGAGGCAGTATTGTTATGGGGCCTTGGCTGGCCTTGAACACAGTCCTCCTGCATCAGCTTCCCATGTGCTGGAGCAGTGACAGGCAAAGCCAGCAGACCAGTTGACTCATGATAGGCATTTGTCCCCAAATTTTCTGCCAAAATCAAGTTTTTAGCAGTCCTAGAAGGAAAAAAAACAGAAGGCTGTCGACTTGAATCTGCTTTTATTACAACTCCAACATTCTCAGTATTGAAGTATCTTCAGTGAAATGTTGCTAGCAGGCATTGATTGCTTTAACTATTTTGGGGGGGGTTTTAATTATTTTTGTTGAGACAGGGTCTCACTATGTAGCCCTGACTGACCTGGAACTCACTGTGTAGACCACCATGAGTCCAAGTAAGGGAAGTGCCTCTGTCCAGATCCCCAGGATAGCAGGGACTTCTAAAGGATGAACATTAACTAGGCACCTGCCTTTCCTAAGAAAAGTCCAGATTCCTCATGGCCTTAATCCAGACTGGGAGTCAGCTCAGGAGTCAGCCTGGCATGTCCAAGGCCCTGAGCTCAGTCACGAGCACCATGATTTTTTTTTTTTTTTTAGGTTTCATAATAGACTCCCATACATTAATAGATTAGCTGAAACTGTCAAGATGACTATTGAAAGAGCAAAGACCTGGACTAAGATTCTCCATTATTAAATAATAGTGTTGCTATGGCATTGTCTCTGCAGCTGTTACTCAATACTGTGACAATACCTGACCAAAGGAGCTTAAGGGAGGAAGGGCTCAACTTGGCTCACGGTTTGAGGATGCAACACCCACCCCCACCCCCCATGGGAAGAGCATAGCAGCAGGAGTCTAAGGCAGCTGGTCACAGGGCATCCAGTCAGGAAGCAGAGGGAATGCCTTTTATTTCGCTTAGGACCAAGCCCCTGGACTGTGCTGCCCTATGGGTGGATCTTCCCATCCCAGCTAGCCCAGCCTAGACACCCCTCACAGCCATGCCCAGTGTCTCAGGTCCACTGAATTTGACAGCATTAACCATCACATCAAGACAAAAGGGGAATTCCGCCTTGAACATGGGGCAGGAGAGTGCCATGCAGGCACTGTGTCAAGGAGACAGTCCCCACTTTTAGTAGGCCCCAAAGACAGCCAGAAGTCACTTTCGGCCAAGACCTCAGGCCTCAGGTGTGAGAGTTTTCATTTGTTAAGTATGAGTTGAATAGATTCCCAGTTTATTTTATTATATTGTATGACGTTTGGGAGGACAGGCATGGAGGTCAGAGGACAACTTCATGGAGTCGGTCTCCCCTGCATTCACATGGTTCTGAGGGTCAAACCCAGGTCATCAGAACTTCGAGGCAAGCATTTTGGCCCCAGCCGGTCCCACCTTGTCATTGATACAATTGTAAGCATTTCCCACCTGCTCGGGTCGGGGATGGACCACGTTGATTGCTGGCAGCATCACAGCCCCACCCATTCTCTGTTGGCTTAGGCGGTAGCTCATCTTGCCTGCTAGCAAGTGGAGCGCCGGAGGGAAGGTGTGTCTCCAGGTTCCAGAATCCACGCGGCTTGGCTGAGTCAAAGTCCAGCCTCCGATGTAACCCATCTGCCAGGTAATCCTTTTTCTTGGTTTTTCTTTTTCTTTTATTTTGCTGTTTGCTTGCTTGCTTTGGTGATTGTTTTTGAGACAAGATCTCCCTACGTAGCCCAGGCTGGCCTTGAGCTCTCAGTCCCGCCTCGGCCTCCCGGGTCCTGAGGCTGCGGTGAGCGCTGCGTCCCCAGCACCTTCTTTCTCCTCGTCTGTCCCCCGCATCCTACGGTCGGCGTGCGCGCGCTCCTGTCGGGACTTTCTCCGCCTCCGTCTTTCCTGCACACGACCCTCTTCTGTGTGTCTTCACGTCCCAGGCAGCAGTGTTTCCGGCACCCCTGAAGGCAACCTGGTCCCCAACCTCCTCCCTGCCTCCTGGCGCTGACTTCCCGCACCGAAGCCTCCGTCCTGAGCCGGAGCGCCACCTAGCGCACAGTCTGGTCCTGACAGCGCCGAACCTTAATCACGTTTTGTTCTTTACCGTCATCCGATGCTGAGCTGAACTTAAGTCCCTGAGCCTGTGCCTCTGGATCCCCCCAGAGCCGGTCGCCTTCAGCAGCTGGCACTTTTCTGACTTGCTGGTGACTCGGGCATCTGGTTTGGGAAATCAGTAATGTTCATAACCCTTAGGAAGACTTCACATCTTGATCATTATTCTTACTACCTGGAGCAGCTGCAAATATCTAGCAGATGTTCAATAAGTACCTATTTTAGTTCATAGATTTAAATGAAACTCTCAGAGGATATAAAGATGACTGCCTTGTTCTGTTCCAAACAAGAAAATCTTTTCTTTTTCAATTCGATTGCCTACCCATAGTACTCTAACCTCACCCTAGGAAGTCACCTGCTCCATTGCCCTGACTCCATCCTTTAAAAGAAATTTTTTTTGTTTGTCTGTATGCACCGCATGAGTGCGGGTGCCAGTACATGTCACATCCCCCCGGAACTGGTGTTATACACAGTTGTACGCCACCTTGACATAGGTGTTAGGAAGACCTTCCTCTGCAAGAGCAGCAAGTGCTCTTAACCTCTAAGCTGTCTCTCCAGCCCAGTTCCGGTCCCTCCCCACTGGCTGCACTGGTGCTCAGATAGCCAGTCCGTCTTCCCCACTGTTCTCACTTCACTCGTCCATTCTCACAGCGTCCAAAGTTCAGTTTCCATGGAAAAATTGCTCCCCAAAGGGTGTCAGAGCTGGGCCTGGGACTGTTGGGAGCCTCATAAATGGTTGCATCAGGCACCCTTTGAAGCAACACCCTCCACACACGTTGGGCTCCTTTGCCCGTTGGTGGCCTTTCTCACCCTCTGGGCATGTAAAGCAATCTCCACCTCCTGTTGCTCCCGTGTCCTTCTGCCCTGTACATTTACCTCTGTGTCCTTGACAGACTGGGCCAAGTGTTTGGCTAAGGATTTGACTGAAAGAAGACAAATTCATACTTTATTAACTTCTAGGGGGGGAAAGACTGATCCGACAAAACCTAGCATTGCTGATGGTGGCCTGGAAGGGGAACTAACCGAGCATTGCCTCGTTGAGGCAGTGTGGTTGTGTGCAGAGATTAGAGGTTGGGGGCTTCCAAATCAGACGTAGAGTCAAATCCCTGCTCACTCTCCCTTAAGATGAAGAGATCGCTGTCATGGTTAACTTTATGTGACTATTGGGCAGATTACATGGTGCCCAGATAGTTGGTCGAGCACTGTTGTGAATACTTCTGTGAGAGTCTGAGGGTGAGATGAACATTGAACTGATGAACAACATAAAGCAGACGGCTACCTCTAAATATGCAGGCCTCATCCTGTGATGCCTGGAGAGGACAGGAGGATGGATGTGGCCCGGGGCCAGAGCCCCTCACCCTAGCTTCCCTCTTAGCTTACATGTGCATGCACGTGAACACACACACACACACACACACACGACCCTCTCTCTGTAAGAGCCTT